CCGAATGGTGTTACCGTTCTGCGGCGGTAGGTTTGCAACAGCCTCAACTGTAAATAAAAAGCTTATTGCTCATAGATACAAGTCAACCCTCTATAATAACACGAGCACCACTCTAGCGGCGAGGAGACGCCTGAGAAGTCGAAACACAGGCATAAAAAACACAGGCAGGTGGCGCCACCTGCTTGAGGTTCGTGCACCAACCTGGAGTGACGTCACGAATTTATGATGCAGTCTCCTAGAGCGATACGCTATCTGTTGATTGGCAAAAGCGAATTGCATTGTCTTTTAAGGGCGCGAAAATGCTTAACTCGGCAAGAGAGAGAGAGAGAGATAAAGATACAAGGAAAGGCAGGGAGGTTAACCAGACGCACATCCGGTTTGCTACCCTGCACTGGGGAAGGGATAAAGGGGAGAAAAGAGGTTGCAGAAAGATGAGAAGGTACACACGAGCACACTCGGGGAGCACACACAGTCTACAGGCGGTCGCTCAGGTTTGTTGACTTTAGGTAAAGTAGCAGTGCTTTAGTTGCTTTCTGCGCAACTGAGGCAGATGCCCAAGGTCCCAGTATCTTCTGCACACAAAATGGTCCGAGGGCAAGTCGATTCAAAACCATCCGTAGCTGGCATCGCTGTGTGTCGTAGCAAGCGCAGCTGCACAGGACGTGTTCGATGGTCTCTTCAGCTCCGCAGTAGTCGCATGTAGGAGTGTCTGCCATACCAATGCGAAACGAGTACACCTTTGTAAATGCAACATGTAAATGCAACTCGGCAAGCTCCTCAAATCTTAATTGAACGTCAAAATGCGACAAAAAGGACTACTTAGAAATAAGCAACGTAACAAATCTCCGTACAAATCTGGCCGAGTGACCACGCCTACGGCAAACGCTTCCAGAGGTGATCAAACGAGCGTTCAGAAGGTGCTAAACGGCGTAGAACCACGTGTGCCATTACAGGGTCATGAAACCAAGATAAGTTGAACTAGAGAAGAATTGATTGATATGTAAGGTAGAACGTCCCAAAACCACCATATGATTATGAGAGACGCCGTAGGGGAGGGCTCCGAAAATTTCGACCACCTGGGGTTCTTTAACGTGCAACTAGAGAAGAAGGCTAGTGTTGACTATATTTATAACGAAGTTTTTAGATACATACGGGGCGAGTCAATCCACGAAAACGAGGGAAGGATAAGCTTCGACATCTGAGTGGGGAGAATCGGCCCGAGGGAGTGAGAAATAGAAGCATGCGAGGCGACGTGTTATTAATGGCCGGCTATAAATTTGGTTGACCCGAAAGATCCGAAGTGTCGATGTGGCGGCGTGGCGTCACACGCCATAACACTTTGTACTAAATAGCGCCTCTTGATGTAGGTCGGCGGGATGGGGCAAGCGATGTGACCCTGCACAGGGTCGAGGGAACCCGCAGGGCGCCTGTAGCAGTGATACCGTTCAGTTGTATATATTCTCCGAAGCTACAGAGACGACTGACCGTGCCCATGCGACCGCTGCCATCACGCAGCTATTACGGGTGCATACGGCTCCAGCGCATACATTACACATACGAGAGGCCTATCGCCAGGCTGTTTTAGCCGTGACAGCAAAAGGGCCCACTTCGATAGATTTCCAGGAGAGGCACGAATGAGCGTAAACTGTACCAACGTGTTCATTAAAGAAGCTGCTAACAACCTTTTTGGGACATCGTAAAGAGACCATTCTCGTTTTCTTGGTCTAACACTCTCCACACGCCAGAGTCCGACGACACAAATGAGATAGCTTACTTTGACGTTAAAGGGCTCCTAAACCATCGAGGGGTCGAAATTTAGGTGTGGTGTTGTGGTTGGGCACTACTTTACAAGGAACGTGTCACCGTGAGAACTTTCGAAACATTGCCGTATATATACTAGCTGAACACGCGTTTGATGATCAAAATTTGGCGATCACTCGTTTTGTCGTTCTTTCCTTCGCTACCCTCCACTCGTCGGCTGATATCCTCTACCTACGCGGCTTCGCCCTTCTCGCCAAATGCACCTCCAAATTTCCAGTGACTAACGTCTTCGCCTACGCGCTGTTCCGGTTACAGCGACTTCGTCATGTTCCTCGGTTAACCCACTGTAGTTGCCCGTAGCGACACATGCTCGACGGCACGGGCTCTGTGCAAATGTTCGTACGCCAGCGAGGTGGCACTCGCATTAAGGGCCACAGTTGCCAATTCGCAAGTGCGCACACACGGACATGCAACAGGAAGAGGAACAACAGCCAGGAGCACGGGCAGGCTCACCGGAAGTCTTGGGTACTTGTTTGACCAATCGCAGCGTCGATTGTCCACGGCGTCACAGATGCAACATGTCGACGTCGTGGTCACTGGACGATAATTCACCTGTCGTTGCTTAGGTGCACTACTAGCAGATGAGGTATCTGCCACTACGTCGCGAGTTGCTCAAGCAGTGAATTGCTTGTCAGTGACGTATCACACTGCAGTGACACGTCACTGAGAAGCAACTCACTGTGATTTCGAAACCAAAAGTGTTTCCTTTCAGCACACTTAGTTGGACTGCACACTTAGTTTGTAAGTTCACTTAGTTAGGCTAGTTGGTTCTACATGTCGGCGATGTGGGTGCTCTTTGACGCCACGCACAGGGAAGAGACAGGACACACCATGAACAACAATCAACGTGTTTATTAGAAGAAGGGAGGAAGCGCAACATTTATGCGCTGAAGCACGTAATACAGGGCTTGTGCATCCCAAATCACGGAGCATTCAAAAACTGTATCTCGTTCTTAAATGATGGCAATAAATGTATGCTTGCAGAAACTAAGCGATGTCTTAACGAACGCCTAAGGGAACACAGTAATAATGTCTAGAATGGTTACAACGGTCATCTCGCAATCCGTTGCCTGTTGTACTCGCCCACCCCGAAATTTTATCAGCGCACAGTCATATGCAGCAACTATAATCAATCAATACGCGAGACTCACAGTAGAAACGAAATCAGTTTAGGAACACGCATTATAATGTGAAAGCACAATAGCTTCTTTGTTATTATCTAGGAAATAGACGCAGTTTTTGAATGATCACTGATTTGTTATGCCCAGGCCTTCTGTCACGCTTCTGCGAATATGTGTGATTCTACCATCTTTCAAATAAATTGAAAGTTGCGCCGTGTGTCCTGTCTCTTTCCTGTGCGCATCTTCAAAGCATACTCGCATTGTGGACACCAAGAACCGTGTTTCGCCAACTGCGTACAAGATATGCCCCAGGTGCCACCCACCATAGTTTATCGCTTTCACGTTATCTCATACAGCTCTTGGTATCCAGGAAATGACACCGCGAGAAGTGAACGACCGTAATATAGGCGCCCCTATTACGCCACGACACGAACTTAGCACATATACACCGCACTTCGCTAAAGTTGTGCGGCATCAGGATCGCACCCGGAGGTGTATTAATTCTGCTCCGATGTGCTCGGCATTCAGTAGTGTTTTTCATGTCCCTACAGCGAACGGAAAACGTCCTCTACGCCAGCTCATTTCCGTTTCGCGAAGCTCCAAATGTACCAGCCTTTACATCGGTACCCACCACGCGTCGTAGTATAGTGCGAGTTCTGCTTCCACTTCTTACAACTCCAAAGATGTAGAGTAGCGTACAGCAGGGTAGACAAGATTAGAACCTTCTATTAACTGTGGCACACACTCACGCTGGGAGATGGGCCGAAAACCGGGAAGTTCTAAAAATTGCTTAAATTTTGTTATCTTCAAAATGATGTCAAAATGTTGAAAGTGACTAAATAAAAAAAATTAGAATTGTTAAACAGAAACTTCGGATATCAAAAATGAAGCGATGAAAAAAATGGCCTTTCCACCACTTCAACAGTTTTCTTCACTTCTTTTTAAATTTTTCCTTTCTTCGTGGAATCGATGCCTGCTCCTATAGGTAACCACCATTCTTCGAATATTTGCTGGATAGCCCACGGATACCGACTGTGCCGTTTAAAAGGTGACTGAACTGATGAACGATTGCACATAAAGGGGTTCCCGTTCGTGCTCCGTCACATAAAATCTCCAGGATGAACAACGACGAAGCGCTACCAGCCTCAAATGGTGGTGGTGGTAGTGGTTAGAAGATGAGAAAAGGCACCTAATTTCAGCCACCCGGTCGGGAGCAGGGCGCAGTGCCTATGAAACCGGAACAGCGGCAGGCATTCGCTGTGTAGTCCGCGCCTTCCACAGTCAGTCAGTCACCGCTTACAGGCTCGGTTCGTCAGCCTTGTACGTATTCATACCTGCGCATGATGATAACTGGGTGGCTCGCACTGTGCTAATAGAATAAATGCTTGCCGGTGTTCGGGTTTCATAGACGCGGGTAGCAAATGCCTCGTACAAAAACAACGAATGCGAGCAGTTAAGTATCCCTCACACTGGCCCATAATCATGACGTTTAGTCAACGAAAAAGCCAATTCCATCCTTTAGTTGTTCGTTGATTCTCAACAACTTTCGTACACGTCATATCTTTTCTCTGAGAAAGGTGGAGACAAAAAGAAAAGAAAGGAACATCGACAATCTCCCGTTTGTGGCACAAAGCCAAACGAAAATTCATTCAAATTTCTGAGAAAGCTTCTTAGTGGCTTTCGCTTGTATTTGTTTATGGCTTCCTTCTACGAAATGGTGTATGTCACCTTTTTAACCCTTCAGCTACTCGGCGGGATTACACAGAACCAATTTTATTAAAAATAATAATATTAATTATTATTATTATTATTATCATTATCATTATCATTATCATTATTATTATTATTATTATTATTATTTTATTATTATTATTATTATTTAAAGAGAGAAGCAGTATAGCGTGAAAAAAAAAGGACGAGGAGACTGCCATGTGCGATGTAACATGGAAACAGTCGAAAATGGAGAAAAAAAGATAGCGCCCAACGTGGGGCTCGAACCCACGACCCTGAGATTAAGAGTCTCATGCTCTACCGACTGAGCTAGCTTTTTTTTTCTTTATTGCCTGCTTCGCAAACAGTACAAATCAATATAAGAATACAGTGCAGTGTCACGTGTAAAAGTGCTGTCACATCTTCCAGCACATGGGGGTTAAAAAGGCAGACGCTTTATGCCCATCAACTTATCTAGACATGGCAACCACTCTGGCTTATCTTGTGCCTCGTATGCAGTCATCAAATACTGTACACTTTCTATGAAGTACTCTCGAGCGGGCCGGGGATTCACGTCTACGTTTCGCACTGCCATCCGTGTTCGCCACACACTGTGAAGAACCAATACCATGAACATATCGTAGGGCACACCGCCTACATTTATGACTGGCAAAAAACGGATGCCATACTGTGTAACTGGCAGGTCTTTCTTCAGGGTCCTTTGAAGGATGTCCCAGAGAAAGACTGCATCGGTACAGTCTAGAAAGATGTGGTCAACTGTCTCGAGTTTTCTGCAGATAATGCAATCAACTGACGGGACGAATATTCCTTTTTCTCGGAGCCATGGATTGGTAGGGAGTGTGCCGCTGTGAAGTTTGAAAAAGAATGTCTTCATTGATGGTCTAATTGGCATCTTCTTCACTCTTTTCAAGACGTCATCCCCGGGTCCCATTAGGGTACAATGTTCTATACAGAGGCTCTGGCAACATGGTTTCTACAAGGTCCTTGTACAGTCTCTTTCGCGAAACCCTAGAGAGATACTCCATCGAAAATCGCACTCTCAATATTTCGACAGCAGCAATCACTTCTTTCATGTACCCCTTAGGGCTTTTTGTCACCCCATTGACAGTGGTTACAATGAAATGAGGCAAAAAATGGGACAGCCGCACATGTATGAACGTTCTCAAAAAACGATCATCTTGATCTCGTAAAAAAACAAACCTAGATACTATCTGTCTCAGGAACAAGTGTACAAGACCAAGCCCCCCACTTTTCACAGAACGGAACAGATTCGTTCGGCTTGTCCTTTCCCACGTGGACGCCCAGATAAACACTGCGATCACTCTGTGTAGCTTTTGTACAGCAACACGTGACATGAATAGCACTTGTAAAACATACCATACTCGTGAAATAAGAAATATGTTGCTCACTGTTGACCTCGTAAACATTGAGAAATCGCGCCCACCCCACGTTTTTGTCTTGTCTCTTAGTTGTTCTGTCTCTTGTTTCCAATATTCTGTTGTGTCTTTGTAGTGTTGGAGAGGTACCCCTAAGTACTTGTCAGGTATAACCTTCCATGTAATGCTTTCAAATATTGATGGTGTGTTCTGCCAATTTCCGTGCCATACTCCAAGACATTTACTCCAGTTGACTCTACTATCAGTGCAGTAACAGAAGAATTTCACATCGTTAAGTGCTTCTCTAATACTCTCCCGATCTTCGCAGAACACAGCAATATCGTCGGCTTAACTAAGTATTTTGACCTCTGCAGACATCAAATGAAACCCCCGCACCTGATCATTCTGTATCACTTTCTGGCATAGAGGTTCTAAATAGATAGCAAAAAGCAGTGCTGATGCAGGGCATCCTTGTTTTACACTCGATAAGACTTGTATATTATCACTAAGCTGTTTGTTTATTATAATTTTTGTAGTGCATCCCGTGTACGCCATTCGGACCCCTTCCAACACCACAGACCCTATATTGACATAGTCAAGAATGCTGAAAAGTATGTCATGATTCACGCGGTCAAATGCCTTCTCGAGATCGATTTGTAGCATAGCTACTTTACCGTCAAACTCATCGCAGCATTCTAACATATTTCGGGCTATATGAATGTTCGTCATAATTGTTCTGCCTTTTATGCCACAAGTCTGATGTGGTCCGACTATTTTTTTAATCACTGTTTGAATTCGCCTGGCCAAAACACCCATGAATATTTTGTAGTCAACATTCGCTAGGGTTATGGGTCTGTAGGATGTGACGGACAGCTGTTTCCTGGGATCTTCAGTTTTTGGGATTAACACGATGTGTGTTTTCCGAAAAGATATTGGCAACTCTTTCCTCTCGTATGCCTCATCGAACACATTCCACAAAGCTTCTGCCACAAGATTTTTAAATTTCTTATAGAATGCTACACCTAGTCCATCTGGACCAGGTGTTTTACCGTTTTTCATTTTTTCAATGGTGATTTCGATTTCTCTGACCGAGATGGGTGTTTCTAATCTCGCTTTTACGTCATCCTCAAGCTTCGGCATAAGTGACAAGAAACGCCGACTATAGGTACTCGTGTCCGCTCTGACGCCTCCCAACAGTTCTTGGAAATATTCCACAAACGCGCGCTCAATCTCGGTTTTATCTGTGGTGACTTCATTTTTGTGTTCTATCGCCCTTATCTCGTTTCTTGTCGCGTAGCTCTTTCCATCTGTGACGGCACGTTTTGTGGGAACCTCGCCACACCATAATCTTTCTGCGCGTGCGCGTACCACCGCTCCTCTGTACCTTTCCGTATCTACGGCTTCTAATTCTTGCTTCACTCTTCTTATTTCTTTACTGCGCTCTCCTGGTTGCGCGCATTCTTGACATAGCAAAAAATCAAGCTCACATTGCAGTTGTCTTTCTTTTTTCAGGTTAGTGCGTTTTATTGAAACTGATCTTCCAATTGCTTCTATTTTTACTTTTTCCTTGAAGCACTCCCATGTGTAAATTGAACTACTTGCGTCACCTTTCGCCACTTCTTTTAATTCCTTTTCAGCATTTTCTACAAACTTCTCATCCTCGAGTAGCTTTTCATTTAACTTCCAGAGTCCCCGATTGAATTTGGGCTTTTCTTTTTTATTAATGGTGAACATTACTAGATGTCACACCTGTCCCGTTTATTAGGGAGGCGATCGCCGGGCTAATTCCAAGAGCCGAAGTATCGGCCCCCCGAACCGCACCACGAAAGCGTGGACAATTTAGAAGTGGTCCTTATTGGTGCGCCAGCGGACGCCGGCTGTGGCCCAAAGAACAAGACAGAGCCGAGAGATGATAAACAAACAAAATTATATTCTCATTAACGGCAGATCAAAAACAATACACACGTATGCACACTCCACAATAGTTACATACAATACGTCACCAAACAGACAATGTACTACACAGTACAATCAACCACACTTGAAACAACGGACACAGACAACAATACGCACTACGATGCAGTCACATGCATTGAACAACCAAGACACTTAAGGACTAAAGAGATAGAAAACCTATTCAGTCCAAAGTCCTTGGAACAAAAGTCTGAATGATACTCTTCCGAGAATCACTCACTCAAAGTCCAGCGTTGTTGTCGTTCCGCAGCTCTCTGAAGTTTCTCTTCCAGGAAACCTCCCGTCTTCAATTGGCCACTCTTCAAACTTCAACTTCTTCGCCCGAACACGTCGGTTTCACACACGCAGCTGTTGCCACGCGTCCTCGCTCAATAGCGGTAAACCCACGCTCTTGCCTGTAGCTCGAGCCGTCCCTACGGACCACAAACTTCGCCGACTACACGGCGGACTCTCTACGCACTCTGGCGCTCACTTCCGTCTCCTCCTGTTCTGTCACTACGGGCAGAACCTTCGCCGACTACACGGCGGAATTCCTACGCGCTCTGGCGTTAACTTCCGTCACCTCCTGATTTCTCGTCTCGGCTGCTCGGTTAAATACCTTGCGCGCGACTTTCCAGAATTTTCTCGTCCTTTCGTCGGCGCGATACGCAGCGAAGGCTGGAGAGAGGCGAGACGGTTTGTCAGCCCTCCGCGTCGGGTGACTCAGCTCGGCGTAGCCACGCCTCCTTCGTTCTGGAAATTTCTAGCGCTTGCCCGGCCGCCGCTGTGGGGTGAGGAGGTTCGTCTGCGAAGCCGTGCTTCTGCGGGGAGAGCGCGCGCCCGGGAGCCTTGGATGTTTGCTTTCTTTTTTTTTTTCTTTTTACCTCGCGGCGTTCCTACAGCCCGTTGTCGCAAGGATTTGGCGGCGCGCTCTCTTTTTAGCGCTCGTTCTGTGACACTGCCCCCCACTTTAAGAATATTATCTCATAATATTCAAAAACCACACAGACGAGCGCGAACAGTTACCACACATTCTCACAGACTGTAACACAATCTGTCGCTCATGACACTTCACATTCACAATATATCACTCAATACAATCGTACATTGTAGTTCAATTCCACAACACATGAAATATAGCCACAGGTACATGCCTACAACACTTCATCACACATTCTAAACAATACAAACGTACAAAGTTCTGTCTATCCAACAATTATACAACACTATACATCACACCATCGCACAGAACACTGTCTCACTCGACATACACTTGAGACACAGGATAACAAGAATATTAACACAACATATGTCACTCAGCCCTGCCGAACACATTCTGATTCCACCTCAGCACCTATCTTGAGTACTTCGAACAGCGCTTGCGCCCCTTTTTGCGGTGCTCGCTCGACTTCTTGTTTTTCCACGTTCCCTTTCGGCGAGCCCCTTCCAACGACGATATCTGAGGCGTCGTCTCAGCCATCGTTGTCTCTTCCGACACCGTTAACGCGTCATTCCATTCGACGGGTCCTGTCTGTTTATTTACCCGCTTGATCATACTTCTACATTTTTCCCGACTGGCCAACTCCGTCTCCTTTACACTGTCGGTCGGTTGAGGGCGTGCCGACGTAAGTCCGGTTGCTCGGCCCGTGAACTGATTCGACACGATCGTCTTCTCCTTCGCTGTCTCTTGCGCCGCAGCTTCACCTTGGGCTCTAGTGAGACCCGTCACGGGATGTTCCTCCACTGTATCTCGCGGCCGCTGTGTTGGCGAGGGCTCTATTTTCGGGTCTTCTCCCAAACATTCTGGATCACTTGGCCCTCGCGCCCCGTCGATGTTTCCGATGACAAGGTCATACAGGGGGGTCGTCATGCATAACGCAGTAACCTTCCCGCTGAAGTACGGGGTTTCAACCTCAATTTCTGCTTCGGGAAGCATCCGGACCGTACGGTCAATTAGGCAAACCGGTCTCGTTCTGCCTGTCAACTCTCTTTCCCGTACCAAATTTCTCCTCACGATAACCGTAGAGCTACCGGTGTCTCTTAGAACCGTAATCTTCTTGCCTGCAATCTTTCCAGGAAGCGTTGGCATTCCCTTCGTAACACCGGTTGGCTGTTTTGACATTACAGCCCCCACAATAGGAATTTTCTCCCCATTCTTCAACTCTACGAATCCATCGGTGACGGCATTATTATCAGATTTCGGTGCCGCTTGCACACAAGATACCTGGTGAGTTTGACTCACTCCGTTCCGACAAGCGTCTGCTTTGTGCCCAGTCTGACCACATTTGAAACATTTTACAACCGTAGGGCTCGTAAAGATCGTTCGACAGTTTTTCGCGCGATGACCCACTCGGTTGCACAGAAAACATCGCGGAATGCTCTCTGGTGCACGCTTCTTTTCTTCGGGAGCCAATTTCTTCGAATCCTCGGGACCCTCCTTCTTGACTTTGGCCAAATTAGTGCCACCTTGCGCTTCCAAGAATTGATCAGCTAATTCAAGCATGTCTTCAAGTGACTTAGCTCTCCTCTCTTTCAAGTACAGCGACAGGCTTGGGTGGCAACTAGTAAGAAATTGTTCTCTAATTAGGAGCTCTCTAAGCTCCTCGTACTCCTGTGCTGTCCCTGAAAGTTCAATCCATCTGTCGAAATAATGGCAAAGTCGGGCGACATACTGCGTAGCTGTCTCACCATCAGCTGGCTTTCCTGTCCGAAATCTGTCCCGGAATCCTTCCACGGTAAATCTAAATCGCTTCAACAAAGCCGCTTTCACCTTTGCGTAGTTGGCTGCATCGGTCGGCGTCAGCCTACCGTACACACTGAGCGCTTCTCCACTCAAGCAGGTACTCAAAGCAGTTGCCCATTGCTGTTCCGGCCAATTCTGGCTCCTCGCAATCGTCTCAAATCTGTGGAGGTACGCGTCTAGGTCGTCCTTCCTTTCATCAAACGCTACGAGCAGCTTGCTTGGGTTCAAGCGGAAGCCGTGATCTTCCCGTTCGCTGCTTTCAACTCTAGCTTGGACGGGAGCTTCGTTTCGCTGTTGCAAACGGAGCCGCTCGAGTTCAATTTCGTGCTGCCGCTGCCGTTCCCTTTCAGCCATCTCCGCTTCTCTTTCTTCTCTCGCCCTTTCGGCTGCCAACTTCTCTCTCTCCAGCTCCAACTTCAATTGCTGCTCTCTTTCTTCCTTCAGCTGTCGCTCTTTTGCCTCTCTTTCTTCTTTCAGCTGTCGCTCCTTTGCTTCTCTTTCTTCTCTCGCCCTTTCAGCGGCCAGCCTTTCTCTCTCCAACTCAGCTGCCTTTTCTTCCTTGGCCCTCTCTGCCGCCAACCTCTCTCTCTCCAACTCAGCTTCTTTTTCCGCTTTGGCTCTTTCGACCGCCAACCTCTCTCGTTCCAACTCAGCTGTTTTTTCTTCCTTGGCTTTCTCAGCTGCCAACCTTTCTCTCTCCACCGCCTCTTTCTCCTTCTGGCTTACCCATTTCCGTAGTTCGGCGCCGGAAAGACCCATCTTCTCACCAAGCGCAACTAACTTTTCGAGATCCATTGTGTCTCGCAACTCGCAAATGAAACCTTGCCGCGTGCAAAAAGTATCTGCCTAAATCAGTCTATCGGAACACTCCCCTGCACTCGTTAACGAGAACACTGAACAACACACAAAATCGTTCCGATAGCACTATCAACAACTCGAGGCTCTTTCTCACTACTTTGGACACACTGTGCACCAAAAGGTCCTGTCGCGGACGCCAGATTAATTGTCACACCTGTCCCGTTTATTAGGGAGGCGATCGCCGGGCTAATTCCAAGAGCCGAAGTATCGGCCCCCCGAACCGCACCACGAAAGCGTGGACAATTTAGAAGTGGTCCTTATTGGTGCGCCAGCGGACGCCGGCTGTGGCCCAAAGAACAAGACAGAGCCGAGAGATGATAAACAAACAAAATTATATTCTCATTAACGGCAGATCAAAAACAATACACACGTATGCACACTCCACAATAGTTACATACAATACGTCACCAAACAGACAATGTACTACACAGTACAATCAACCACACTTGAAACAACGGACACAGACAACAATACGCACTACGATGCAGTCACATGCATTGAACAACCAAGACACTTAAGGACTAAAGAGATAGAAAACCTATTCAGTCCAAAGTCCTTGGAACAAAAGTCTGAATGATACTCTTCCGAGAATCACTCACTCAAAGTCCAGCGTTGTTGTCGTTCCGCAGCTCTCTGAAGTTTCTCTTCCAGGAAACCTCCCGTCTTCAATTGGCCACTCTTCAAACTTCAACTTCTTCGCCCGAACACGTCGGTTTCACACACGCAGCTGTTGCCACGCGTCCTCGCTCAATAGCGGTAAACCCACGCTCTTGCCTGTAGCTCGAGCCGTCCCTACGGACCACAAACTTCGCCGACTACACGGCGGACTCTCTACGCACTCTGGCGCTCACTTCCGTCTCCTCCTGTTCTGTCACTACGGGCAGAACCTTCGCCGACTACACGGCGGAATTCCTACGCGCTCTGGCGTTAACTTCCGTCACCTCCTGATTTCTCGTCTCGGCTGCTCGGTTAAATACCTTGCGCGCGACTTTCCAGAATTTTCTCGTCCTTTCGTCGGCGCGATACGCAGCGAAGGCTGGAGAGAGGCGAGACGGTTTGTCAGCCCTCCGCGTCGGGTGACTCAGCTCGGCGTAGCCACGCCTCCTTCGTTCTGGAAATTTCTAGCGCTTGCCCGGCCGCCGCTGTGGGGTGAGGAGGTTCGTCTGCGAAGCCGTGCTTCTGCGGGGAGAGCGCGCGCCCGGGAGCCTTGGATGTTTGCTTTCTTTTTTTTTTTCTTTTTACCTCGCGGCGTTCCTACCGCCCGTTGTCGCAAGGATTTGGCGGCGCGCTCTCTTTTTAGCGCTCGTTCTGTGACACTAGACTATGGTCACTAAATGAAACATTCTTCACTGCGTAGCCCTGGCACATAGGAAGCAGGGACGTAGACACGTATGCTCTGTCAAGTCTAGCTTTACTGTTGAGCTGGTAATGCGTATAGTGAGTACCCTGCGCCAGTACATATCCCACGTCATCCAAGTTCCGTTCACGCGTCATTGAATCCAATACCAAGGCGCTAGAGTCACGTACAAAGTTTTTACATGCCCTGTCTTCGGCATTACACACACAGTTGAAATCGCCTAGAAGTATAACTGCCTTCTCGCATGATAGATACGTATCAAGACTTTCGAAGAATATTTTCATATCTTGTTGTCTATTTGGCGCATATACGCACACAACGCGCCAACTAATGCCGGAAAGAAGAAAATCACATGCAATTAATCGCCCTTCATTATCACTGTGTACACTTTTTTCGACAATGCCAATTGTGTTCCTTATAAAGAGAAGACATTCGCCAGTCGGCAGGTGCTGTTCTGGCTTGTCTGTCGTTATCGGTTTTTCTGGCTGTGGTTCGGATGCCTTGTTCTCGACCTTTTCATTGTCCATCCTACTAGGCCTGCTCAGTTTCACCAATTCTGGGGTCGCCTCTTCCTTCCTCGCAGTCGCGCTCGCTGCCTCTTCAGCTTCATGCTCATCCATTAACAGCTCTGCGTGGTCGTTGCCACTCGGAGGTCCGGTGACGCTGGCATAAGACAACGTGCAGTCGTTCTCCTCGTGGCCAAATCTTCGGCAGGCACCACAGCGTGGCACACGGCAATCTCGCCGTATGTGCCCGTTTGCTCGACAGCGTAAGCACACTGGCGCTCTGCCCGGAACAACCACCAAAGCTTGCTCACCGCTTACGTTCACTTGGTGAGGCAGGTCTTCAATTTTGACGCCCACTTTCAACCGAAGTGTCACAATACGGGTAGTGGAGCCTTTTTCGCTGATGCCGTTTACACGCCACCGCTCTCTGTTGACGTCAACCACTTGGCCGTACGGCTCGAAAGCACGTCGCACATCCTCATCGAGAACATTGTGAAGCAGCCAGTGCACTTTCATACGCACATCCTGGTTTGCCGGATCAATGACAAGACAGCGACAATTTTTTACCTTGATATCGCCTTGCGATAGAATCGTCTTGACAGCGTCCATGTTCTTGAACGTTACCGCCCACACGTGGCTCATCCTATATGCCCCCAAAGCAACCACTTCGGGGAGCAGTCGCAGGCTGGCCAAGGTGTCACGGAAATCTTCCACTCGATAAGGTCGGGCTCGTACGTCAGCGTGCAGAAAAACCGTATTTAAAACAATTCGTCCTGTAGGAAGGGTTGGCAACACAACTTGATATTCCTTATCGTCATCAAAAGACCTGTTTCCGCGGCTAGTATCTGCCGCAACCGCCGCTCCTACGGAGCACATGATTCCTGCGTCCGACGCGCGTGAGTGCCGACGAAAGAATCGACTGAGCTAGCCGGGCACATATTGAAGTAGCGGTTTGACACATCTGGTGGGTCCAGATCATAGTGGTTAACTTAAAAAAAGAAGGCGCATATAGCGCGGAAAAAGGAGACCATCATGCGCAATGTAACATGGAAATACTCGGAAGTGGAGAAAAAAGTTAGCGCCCAACGTGGGGCTCGAACCCACGACCCTGAGATTAAGAGTCTCATGCTCTACCGACTGAGCTTGCCGGGCACATATTGAAGTTGCGGTTTGACACATCTGGTGGGTCCAGATCATAGTGGTTAACCTGAAAAAAGAAGGCGCATATAGCGCGGAAAAAGGAGACCGTCATGCGCAATGTAACATCGAAACACTCGGAAGTGGAGAAAAAAGAAAGATAGCGCCCTACGTGGGGCTCGAACCCACGACCCTGAGATTAAAAGTCTCATGCTCTACCGACTGAGCTAGCCGGGCACATATTGAAGTTGTGGTTTGACACATCTGGTGGGTCCAGATCATAGTGGTTAACCTGAAAAAAGAAGGCGCATATAGCGCGGAAAAAGGAGACCGTCATGCGCAATGTAACATCGAAACACTCGGAAGTGGAGAAAAAAGATAGCGCCCAACGTGGGGCTCGAACCCACGACCCTGATATTAAGAGTCCCATGCTCTACCAACTGAGCTAGCCGGGCACATATTGAAGCTGCGGTTTGACACATTTGGTGGGTCCAGATCATAGTGGTTAACCTAAAAAAAGAAGGCGCATATAGCGCGGAAAAAGGAGACCGTCATGCGCAATGTAACATCGAAACACTCGGAAGTGGAGAAAAAAGATAGCGCCCAACGTGGGGCTCGAACCCACGACCCTGATATTAAGAGTCTCATGCTCTACCGACTGAGCTAGCCGGTCTTTTTTTTTCTTTATTGCCTGTTTTCGGCTCACATAAACAATACACATATTAACTGATAATTACACAACACAATCCAAAACATTGTAAAAACCGTGGCTCAAACGATGTGGCCACGCATCAGTTAAAATGTTTTTATCGTCGATAGTAATTCGACGCGCGGCAACCATTCTGGGGGGAATTCCTGCAACTTTGTTCATCCACAAAATTTCTTATATACTCTTTGAAGTACTGGGTGGGTGCTTCGTGCATTCTACATCAAAGTGCATGGCTGCCATCCTGGACTTTTCCAAATGCTATGAAGAGCCATAAACATTATCATATCATATGGGGTACCGCCGTCACTTTGTATTTGCAAATTGCGGATGCCATGTGCATCAAGGGGGAAATCTTTTTTGATTGTGCGCTGGAGCACGTCCCAAAGAAAGATAGCATCCCAGCAGTCAATGACTACATGCTCAATTGTCTCCTCCTTTCTGCATATTATGCAATGCGTGCCCCAAGGAACGTAGAACCCCTTGCAGCCATCCAGGTTTTGACGGTCAGCGTACCGGTATGTAATTTAAAAAGAAATTCTTAGCACCTGGCGATATTTTCATCGCCTTGACGCGCTTTAGTACAGTGTGGCCATGGCATACATTGTAAAGGGACCGATACAAAATCACTGGTAAAAACACATCACATAGGTCCTTGTACAACTTTCTTCGTCGGACTTGACTCAAGTATTCAAGTGAAAACCGCACTGACAGAAACCCACAAGAAAGTACAACTTCGCGGAGAAAGCCATAAACACCACCAGGTACGCTGCAGGTTGATACAACCATGTTAGGCAAGTGTTGCCCCAGGCGAAGTTGGACAGACAGTGCAAAGGAATGGGTTGTCGACGTCTCTGAAGGAAACAAATCGATTGACTACCTGTCTTAAAAACAAATGCGACAAGCCGAGTCCTCCATTTCGCACTCGAAGAAATAAATTGGTCCGACTCGATCTTTCCCAAGACGATTCCCACACAAAGACAGCGAACACACGGTGAAATTTTTGGATGTTTACCCTTGAACAATGTAAGACTTGTAAGATATACCAAATTTTACTCACTAGAATATGTTGCAAATTGTGGCTTTAGAAAACATAGACCAATTCCTGCCATTCCTCTTGTTCACTCTTTCCCGCAGGTTATCCACTTGGCTCCTCCAGTACGAGTCGCTGTCTTTGTAGCATTCGCGGGGGGCACACAAGTATTTCACCGGTGTCGTAACAGACCTTATGCTGGCAAAACTGTCTGGGGTTTCTGCCCAGTCACCGTGCCAAAAGCCAAGGCATTTTCCCCAGTTTACAGCGCTGCCACTTGCAACACAGAAGTTAGTAACGCATTTGACAGCATCCGCTATGCTGTCAGAGTCCGCGCCAAAAATGGCAATATCGTCCGCATAAGCCAACAGTCGGACTTCAACCTCGTGCAGCTTAAACCCACGGACACAGTCATTCTCTATGACACTCAAACAAAAGGACTCTATGTACAAACAAAACAATAATGGTGAGAGAGGACAACCCTGACGGACCGAACGCTTGACTGGGATGCGCTTCCCCACCACCTTGTTAACGATTAGCCGCGTTGAGCAGTCTCGGTACGCCATGGCAACCCCCTCTTTGATTATTTTTCCTAAATTCAGATAATCTAGGATGCACAGCAGAATTTCATGAGGCACCCTGTCAAAAGCTTTCTCGAGGTCGATTTGCAGCATTGCCACTCGCGCACCAATAGCGTCGCAACATTCGAGGATGCTCCGGGCTGCGTGTATATTCGTGAGGATAGTTCGACCTTTAATGCCGCACGTCTGATGCGGCCCCACGAGCTCCGTAATGACTGTTTGCAACCTTTTAGCTAGGATTTTCATGAATATCTTGTAATCTCCATTAGTGAGGCAGATTGGGCGGTAAGAAGTTACTCTGCGCAGTGCAACGGGGTCTTCCGATTTTGGTATAAGAACAGTGTGAGATGATGAAAAGGACGGGGGTAATATTTTCAGCTCGAATGCCTCATTATAAACGTCGGCTAAGACTGGTGTTATTTCAAACTTGAAACACTTATAAAAGACGGAAGTCAGACCATCAGGGCCAGGCGATTTCCCCGGATGCATACTTTCAATAGCACTGTTAACTTCCTCTTCCGAAATGGGTTCCTCCAATAATTCTTTTGCATTATTGTCAAGCTTCGGCATCAGCGGTAAAAAATCTTTTTAAAACGATCGACATCAACTGAGCTGGCGGCGAATAAACCATTGAAGTGCTCAAAGAAAGCACGCTCGATAACATCTGCGACATCGCTGACTTCACCCTCGTGTTCAATTTCTGTTATGATAACGGCAGAAGCACCGTCAAAAAGGGCGTTGGGCTCAGAAAAGTCTACCGACTGAGCTAGCCGGGCACAGCAGGAAGGTCGAGGTATGGCACAACTGGTGGGTCGAAGATCATCGTGGTTAAGCTAAAGAGAGAAGGAGCGTAGCGTGGAAAAAAAGAAGGAGGAGACCGTCATGCGCGATGTAACATGGAAACAGTCGAAAATGGAGAAAAAAAGATAGCGCCCAACGTGGGGCTCGAACCCACGACCCTGAGATTAAGAGTCTCATGCTCTACCGACTGAGCTAGCCGGGCACATTTAGAAGTAGCGGTTTGGCACATCTGGTGTGTCCATATCATCGTGGTTCACCTAAGGAGGGAAGGAGCTTCGCGTGGACAAAAGAAGGAGGAGAATGCCATGCGCGATGTAACATGAAAACACCAGGAAATAGAGAAAAAAGCGCCTAACGTGGGGCTCGTACCCACGACCCTGAGTCTCATGCTTACCGACTGAGCAAGCAGGGCACACTGGGAGGTGGATGTGTGGCACATCTGGCGTGTAGAGTAGAAGGAACAAACTTCCCTCAGCTATTGCATTTTTAAATGTATACTAAAGAAAAAAACTATTGTTTTTTGTAATTTATATTTGTAAATTAATTGTTGTTCATGATTGCAAAATCACCACGCTTGCCGTGAGAAGGCGCTTGGTCAGCGAGCTAACGCACAAACGGAAAATGTGGGCGGCGATTCCACATTCAAGTTACCGTAACAAGCTCCGTGACGTCATAGATTATCATAGCGTTTACTCGACACTTTTGTTGTTTTCATTCAGTAAATGTGAAGCACGTTCTCTCTGGTTGGGGGGGGGGGGGGGCATAAGACTAGGCGTACCAAGTTTCAGGTAGTTTAGTTGAGCCAATGTCGTCAAAATGCGAAAGAGAACTTTGAAATTTGTGACGTCACGTGTGGAGACTTTGGTGCTGAATTTAAAAAGCACGTGTAACCTGAATTTTCTCCTACATTATAAACCAATGATCATGAAATTAACGTCATTATAGTTCTCAGAGAACACTTTGTCAATCTAAAACCATTCTTTGTTTCGCTTTGCTATCCTTTAAGTGAGGTTAAATGCAAGTATGTTCATTGAACGGTGTCAGGCTTACATGCGTGCAGAAGCAACCAGGCATACTGTGAAATATTCCTATTCGCATCAGCGCTCGCTCCGTAATGACAACCTTCGTGCGAAGCGGTGATCGCCCCTCGAACTGGCTTTACAGTTTTTGACGTCAAATGGACCCACCCCAACTACTTTTATGCGGACGCGATTTTCGATAGCATCGCTCCATCCGACGACTCCATTGTTCGCCGAAGCCTCAATCGCTTTGTAGAACTGCATACGTTACACGCGAAAATCAGCCCTTTGAGGAAGCTTGCGCCTTGTCTGTGGTCGTTAAGGACGCGATAGCAACAATGCAGGGCTTGTAAAGTGCCGGTAAA